ATTCGGGGCATGGGTTCCCCACGACGGTGGGGCACAAGGCAGACACAGCACACTAAAGCCGTTGAGGCTTTCCCCACCACTCCCACTCTGTTCCCCATCCCACGGGGTGAAAAAAAAAACAGCTTCCCAAGGACACTAGGAGAGATCTCTGGCGCCACCTAGTGACCAGAGAAAAAATCACCAACACCCCATAGAATAGGGACCTTTCTTCAGTAAAGACTGCCTGAAACAAGCAGAAGGCTCCTGGAGGAGCCAGTGGTGAGCTGGGAAGTTCGCCCACGCCAGGCCCCTTCTGACCAGCAGTCCTAACCCAGAGGGGGAGCGGGCACCCCTGGCCAGGGCAGACCAGGTGCGCGGAAGAGTGTGCCTGTCTCCAAATCGCATTTTAGAATAGGGACCTTTCTTCAGTAAAGACTGCTTGAAACCAGCAGAAGGCTCCCGAAGGGGCCAGAGGTGAGCTGGGAAGTTCGCCCACACCAAGCCCCTTCTGGCCAGCAGTCTGAGCCCAGAGTGGGAGCGGGCACACACGGCTGGGACAGACCGAATGCTCAGAGGATTACATACCTGCATTGCCTTTTTAGGACAGGGACCTTTCTTCAATAAAGGCTGCTTGAAACTGGCAGAAGGCCACCGGAGTAGTCAGAGATGAGCTGGGAATTTCGCCCACGCCAGGCCCCTTGTGGCCTGCAGTCCCAGCTCAGTGTGGTAGCAGGCACCCACAGCTGGGGCAGACTGGGTGTGCAGGGAGTTTGTCCCTCATCGCCAGTTTAGAACAGAGACATTTCTTCAGGAAAGACTGTCTGAAACCAGCAGAAGGTTCCCTGAGGGCAAGAGGTGAGCTGGGAAGTTTGACCATGCCAGACCGCTTTTGGACTGCAGTCCCAGCTCAGAGGGGGAGCAGGAAACTACAGCAGGGGCAGACCGGGCAAGCAGGGAGTGCATCCTGCATCACCATTGTAGAACAGGGACATTTCTTCAGTAAAGACTGTCTGAAACCAGCAGAAGGCTCCCGGAGGAGCTAGAGGTGAGCTGGGAAGTTTGCCCACACCAGGCCCCTTGTGGCCTGAAGTCCGAGCCCAGAGGGGGAGCGGGAACCCACCGCCGGTGCAGACAGGGCGCACAGGGAGTGTGTCCCTCATTGCCATTTTATTTATTTATTTTTTCTGTTTTTATTTTTTTTTTTAAATAATAAATTTTATTTTTATATTCCCCCATACAATTGCAACCCCCCCATTCTGACCCCCATCCCTCCCCTCCCGTCCCCCACCCCCAAAAAAGTGTCTCTGGTTCATATTATTTTGTTGATTTTGATTTTTACTTTCTTAAAAAAACTTTCTTATAGTTATTCATTTTCCTGGTCCCTTATTTAAGTTTTCTAGATTCCTGCTATGAGTGAGACCATCCGGTATTTTTCTTTTTCTTTCTGGCTTATTTTGCTGAGCATGATCCCTTCCAGCGCCATGCATGTTGCTGCAAATGGCATGTGTTTATCTTTTTTGAATGCTGAGTAATAGTCCATGGCATATATGTACCGCATCTTCTTGATCCAGTCATCTATTTTGGGGCATTTGGGTTGTTTTCAAAGCTTAGCTATTGTAAATAGTGCTGCTATAAACATAGGGGTGCAGGTGTTCTTTGGAATTGATGTTTCTGTGTCCTTTGGGTAAATACCTAGGAGTGGAATTGCTGGATCATATGGAAGCTCTATGTTTAGTAGGTCCTGAAATCTCCACACAGCTCTCCATAGTGGTTGGACCAGTTTGCACTCCCACCAACAGTGCAGGAGAATTGCTCTGATGAATAGTGAGGGCTGACTTCCAATAAAAAGTTTTCCTACACTCACGACATTTGTAAGGTTTCTCTCCTGTATGAGTTTTCTGATGTTTACTGAGGGCTGATTTCCAGTGAAAAGATTTCATACACTGCCTGCATTCATAAGATTTCTCTCCTGTGTGAGTTTTTGTTGTACAATAAGGGCTGACTTCTGACAGAAAGTTTTCCTACAATCTTTACATTCATAATCATCTCCATGGTTTGAGACAGCTGATGTTCAGTAAGACCTGACTTCCAGAAATAAGTTTTCTGACACTGCTTAAACACTAAGGGTGTCTCTCCAGTCCAAGTTCTCTGACATCTTTTGAGGGTTGAATTATCGGACATTTTCCCTAATTCATAAGTTTTATCAGCTGCTTGTATTTTCTCATGTTGAGTAAGGAAAGATAATTTATAAAATGTTTTCCCACATATATTATAGTCAAAAACTTTCTCACCTAGTGGTACTTCCTGAAGCTGAGTAAGGTTTAATTTTGTTCCAAAATAATCCCCACTTTGATTACATTTGTAGTATTCAAAATCTTTATGAAGATTCAAATGTGTTGGTTTCTCAAAAAAGGATGATTCCCATTCATTACATACATAGTATATCTGCCCGACCTGAGCTCTACCTTGGGCAATGAGAGCTGACATATAACAGCCTTTCCTACACTTATATTGAAAGGCATTCTCTCCCATCAAATCCCTTCTATGGGTAAAAAAATATATTGTTTCTTTGTTGATGTCTCTCCCTTCTCCACTAAATTCCAAAGGTTGCTTCAAAGTTTGAATCATACCATGAAGAATAGGATACTCGGGATATCCAGGGCATTTTCTAGTTACACTAGGCCTCTCAATTTTCTCTATTGCATGCATCTCATCAGGCTCACCAGGGAAGAACATGTTCTTCCAAGTATGAAACTCTACAGGCATCATTCCTGAATGAATGCCATTATTTATACTCAAATTCAATTATACATTGGATGCAAATTAAGTGTTTTTCCTAAGTCAATTATTTCCTTACTTGATGTTTTGCCATTGGCGATTATAACTTGCCACACATGCCTGCCCTGGTTTTCCTGGTTGGTCTTAATCAGGTCATCCATAGTATGGACATCTAAAATGAGATAAAAATAACCATTCCATAAACAACATCTAGGCATCTAAGCATTTCTGATATAAAGGTAAAGGAGTTTCTTCCCACACGAGGACAAGATTTTTTAATTCCAAAAAAGGCATTAATATTATGATGCAAATGATTCTTTTACATAATAAATGAAGGTATGAAATTACATTAATAAATTTTCTAATGTCAAACACATTGATGGAAAAGGTATGAAAAACATTGATTTAGTATCTTACTTTTTAAATTCATAAGGGTATACTTGGTCAACATACTGACTTACACTGTAGGTAGAGATTTTGACTGAGAGCTTTCCACCTAGCATTTATTTATCCTATTCCTTCTCTATATTTTCTCTTGTAACTGTGCATCATGAGCAGGTCTTTTCAGAACAATCAGAACATACTTTGTAAATGGCATGATCATCCTGATCACCTACTTACTAGGCTTAAGGAGAGCCATTTCTGTCACTTAAGCAGGACTTTGGTCCAGGACAAAGACTTTGCATCTACATTTGCTTAGTGTTTATTTCTCTTTAGGGAACATGTACAGGCATCTGGGGGATTTCTCAAAGGCATATCCTCTTCCTTCTCTAAGACACATTCAATTGTCTGTGAAACTCTAACTAAACCGTATACCAGTGGCTTCTCAGAACCATAGTAGGTACAGAAAATCGGCTCATCACATTGTGCAACCCTTCCCTGATGATCTAAAGCATTTAGGTTTTGCAACTTAAGGGTATACTCAACATCTTTGAAAAAAACTTTTCCCACATTCCTCTGATACTAAGATTCCTAGTATTAAGAACTCCACTTCTCAGCACATGTTCCTAGTTGAAATTCACTGCATCTGAAGATTTTAGCTTATATTTTAGAATTTCACTGCATCCTAGTTAAACTTAAATCGGAGTCCATTGTTTCTTTTCTTGGTTTTCGTTTTTCTCCCAACTATTTCCAAAAAAGAAGGTGACATTGTTAGGGGGAAAAGGATGTTCTAAAGCTAATTCCATACAGGCTTTGTGGACTCCACCCCCACCCCAGGCTAAAGCCAAAGACACAGGGAACTCCAAATCCCATCACCACCAAAGGGAAGGTGGTTGGGACCTGAGGAATGGGTTAAGAAGTTAGGTTGGTATAAAGCCAGACACGTGGGCTTTGGAGGGGTCCTCCATTTTGACTCTCCGCCAGCTCACAGCGTCCGACCAGCTCGGAGAGTGCTGTTTGGTTTTCCAGGTTGGTGGATCGGGTAAGACGCATTAAAGACTATATTTCCCTATTTTCTTCCTGAGTTATACATTTTCCTTATTTCCTTTTCCCTTGTAAATAAACCTTTTATTAACCTTTTATGTATGCCTGTAGTGGAGTATTAATAAGTCCCTTGTAAGCGTGCTGGGTGAGGACCCACAGTCAGGCAACCCGTTCAATATCAGGGCACAACTTCAGTCCCTGATTCCAAGGCCCCTGTTCCCACAACCTGAAATTCTTGGTTCAGTGGCTTTGGAACCGACAAGATTTGAGTTAACAAATTCCTAATCTGCACCACCAATAGTGATATCCAACCTCTACTCCAGATTGCACATGCAAGTCATCTCAACCTTATACCCTACAATGTAAACAGTCTTTGCGAAAGTCCCTTCTGAACCCACATTCTAAAATAATACTGTCCGTTTTCACTCATGCTGGCCATACTGTGGCATTTATCTAATTAATGTGTATTTGCTTCCTCTCCCTTTCTCACAGAAAATAAACTCCATTAAAAAAGGTGGGCGAGGGCCTCCCTGGTGGCACAGCGGTTGAGCGCTGGGCTGTGACGCTGCCCACAGCCTCCGCAGCGCCGGATCGATCCCCGGCCACTGGGTGAGGGTCCCACATGGCACGCAGACCTCTCCTGCCACCCGCTGCTCCCCTCAGCAGTGTGCTTTGGTCTTTCTGCCTGTTCTGCTCCCTGCTCTGGCTCTGGTGAATCCTTTCACCCTCCCACGCTTCTGACTGTACCCAGTGCTTATATAAATAAATAAATAAATAAATAAATAAATAAATAAATAAATCTTAAAAAAAGGGGGGGTGGACACATTCCTTTGATTACTGTTGTTATCCACACAACTTACCATTAAACATGTTGAAAGAATAAACCAATGTATGAGTAAATGCCTGGAAGGACAGTCCCTAAGAATGGAGTAAAAATGAGACTCCAGAGATTGATAAACCAAAAAACATTTCTAGAGGAAGGTAGTTAGCGATTGCACACCAGTTACTCGAAGGATACTTACAACCATTATAAAAGTAGGGGAAGATTAATTAGGGAGCCATATTTGGAGAGCAAATAATAAACAAATTATATACACAGAGACCAACCATTCTAAGGTCTGGATATGGGGAAAAATAGCTCATTAGGGCTTAGAAGTCCTGGGCTCTCCTCCTCCCAGCCTCCCTTCCTAGTATGCAGTGACTGGCCTAAGAGGCTCTGGTTTGAGGGTTCCTTGACAGTCCATGGCTCTGCTCCCTGCTCCAATCTGATGATGAACTCAGGTTTGCTAACACAAAACCCTGTTGAAAAGAGAAAATGTTGACTTTAGAGAGAACTGCTTTTGTCTCAGTCTTTGAAGACAAGAACTGCACAGCTTTAAGAGCTGAGCAATGAAAGGCTGGTGTGGCTCTCAGACAGGGGTGAATACCCTTACCTTCCAGGTTTGCCATCTTGAACTAAATAACATTAATTTTATAAACAGCTGTACATTTATCAATGAAGATAAAACAGTGCTTTCACTTGTTTATTACAGGGCAGTTTCACTTACGCATGGACAACAGGCTGTTGTAGGTCTCCAGCATCACATCCCTGTAGAGAGTCCGCTGAGCATCATCTAGGTCCTGCCACTCCTCCCAGGTGAAAACCACAGCCACATCCTCAAATAACAACATCTTCTGCAATGAACATTTCTCAATTCAAGGCATCAGCCTATGTAAGAAGCATAGGACATGACTGGGAGCTCAATTTTTTATGTTTTTATCTTGTGTAGGAAGCAGCCATCACTGGTACTCTATATAGTACAAAAGTGATTCCACAGTAGAATTACCCCACTTGTCTTAACTCATTAGTTCTTAGAAGTACTTTTTTAGTTTTCCTTATGAATCTGGAAATGTCCTTCATGCTAAGGATGAAAGAATGAACAAAAACCTAGTCCTCAAAGAAGCTTATAATCTAGATTGCTGACTTAAGCCTAGACATACATCTGGAATAATGTCCTAAAGCAACTATGAGAAAAACAAGTTTAGTGTAGCCTGGTGTTAAAAAAGGAGTGGGGAGGGGCGGGAAACAACACTATCTGTTTTCAGGTTGTACTTCACTGAACATCCAAAGATGTTTAGCAATTTCATAAACTACATGTTCTCATGAATATGAGGCAGTAGCAGAAATCAAGATGTGAGGAAATAAAGAGCAGTTAGCAAATTAAAGTGCTCCTAGCTTGTGAGGTGAGATAGGAGAAAGACTGAATATGAAGTTAGTTTGCATTTCCAGATACAACCTGATTCTGGCAATAAAAGTCTTAGGTGATCAACATGTCTCTAATAACCTATTTAAAGTTTTCATACATCCTAATTACCTAAAGGCTTATTTTCACTCCCAAGTGAGCAAAACACTTTCCTAAACCACAGGGTGTAAATAACAAGGGAATACAAATAGGTAAATTACAGGCCCTCCCTGGTGGTGCAGGGGTTAAAGTCTCAGTGCTTTAAAGCTATCACCAGCTACTGTGGCTTGAGTTCAATTCCCAGGCATGGAGTTGACCCACATGGCACAGCAGACCTCTCCTATCTCGACCACTGCTCCCCTCAGTAGTGTATTGCAGGGAATCTGCCTGTTCTGCTCCCCACTCTTATCTCTGGTGAATCCTCTCACCCCCCCCCCCACATCTCTGGCCTAAACTCCAGTTCTCTATGCATAAATAAATAAAAATCTAAAAAAAAAGTATGTAAGTTACATGGTGGAATTTGTAGTTTAACAGTCATCCCCTAACAGGAGAATGGGAAAATGCATAAGGGAAAGTCAGAGAACAAAGCAGAGGGACAGCGTTACATATACTGTGGTAGCAGACTTGTAGGCATATAGAACACAGCACTAACCCTAACACAATGGGCAGTGGGGGAGGAGGAATGGAACTGGGTAATACTTGGCTGTCTGTAGGGTGAATGTCCTGCCTGATGCAGGCCTGCACGTCACACATTGTCCCTAGGTGACAGGGGCTGGCACACTACTGATGTCCTGCAAGTGCCAGCACTCTAGGCCCTAACTCTGGCGACTCCTTGTGCATGCAAGACTCAGAAACTAGACCTACCATTGCTATAACACAGCCAGTATCCCATGGCTGAGTGTTTTCATGTATGGAGGACTTGTATATATTACTTTTATAGCCTGGTAATTGTGATTCACTATGGTTTTCCAAGTATTGGGTATAACAAATTATGATTTTTTTAAACATTTATTTATTTATGCACACAAGAGCTGGGGAGTAGGCCAGCGTTACAGGAGTGAGAAGATTCACCAGAGACAGAGTGGGGAGCAGATCAGGCAGATCCACTGAAATGCACTGCTGAGGGAGCAACAGGCGAGGCAGGAGAGGTCGGCTGTACTGTACTGTGGGTAGCTACCTGGCCGGGGATTGAACTCGTACTGCAGTGGCTGTAGAGAGCTTCATAGGTTGTGTCTCAATCCCTTGTGCCACCAGGGAGGCCCTGTTTCACTTCATTTTTAAGTCACTGGCTGGCAGGAAATAAAACCGTGTGTATGAGAAAAAAAGGGGATTTGAAGTGCTGTGGTGAGCTACAAAAAAAGGGGATTTGAAGTGCTGTGGTCAGCTACAAAAAAAAAATTCAAGAAGGATTCAATCAATGCTGTAAACCCCTGGGAAGAGGTCCAAGCAGGATGGAAACAGTAGGGACAGTCAAATCACAGGGGCTGACTCAGAGAGAACTGAAGTATGAAGAACGGGGCACAGAACTGAACACATGGATGGATGACATTTATGAGAAAAAACACAAGCATTCAGGGGAAAGAGAAGAAATCACCAGAGAGGCAGTGACAGAAGCAAAAAGCAGGAATTTTCAGAGCACGAGTGGTATTGACATAAACAGCAGAAGGTTCAATTAAGGCAGACTAGAGAACCAGGGACTAGTCACTGGATTTGACGGCAACTTAATTATAAATTGGTGAGATTTACACATAGTGAATTGGGACTACATTCAGTGGGCCAAAGCGGATACCCACATTTTATATCTGCCATATTAAGCCTCAATAGCTGTTATCAATTTCATAAACATTTATTAATTTTGTAACAGTTGCCCAAAAAAATGTAACATCAAACAGCACACCCATGCACCTTTTTATAGAGATCAGCTGAGAGAAATGCCAACAGACAGCACATACCACCAAAACGAAGCTCCTAAACCCAGCAGCCATCCCACTGCATCAAGTGACCACACGTCACATTTCACCCAAGCAGCATGAGCATAGGGACGAAAGGACTAAACCACAGGCTGAGATGGCCAATGAACACAGATGCAGAGGTCCTCAACAAAATCTTAGCAAACCAAATTCAACAAAATATCAAGAGGATCATACATCATGGCTAAGTGGAATGGAATTTATTCCTGGAATATGAGGATGGTTCAACATACATCCATCAATGTCATTAAAGGAAAGATAAAATTCATATGATCATATGAACAGATGCAGAGAAGGCATTTGACAAGATTTGGTACCTACTTATGATATGTACTTAGTGAAACAGGATTAGAAGGAATATAATAAAGACCATATATGATAAACCGATAGCTAGCATCATACTCAATGGTGAGAAGCTCCTAAAGCTTTTCATGTAAGATCAGGTACATGCCAGTGATGATTTCTCTCACCACTACCGTTCAATATAGTATCAGACAGCTGAGCTGGAGCAATTAGGCAAGAGTCATAGAAAAGGAATCCAAATTGGAAAAGTAGTAAAAACATGACTACTTCAAGATGGTATTACTACAGAGCTACAGAAAACCTGTTAGCCCCTACTAAAAAAGTATTAGAAACAATAAATCAACAGAGTAAAGTGGCAGACCACAAAATCATTATACAAAAGGCTGTTACACTCCTATGTGTGAATAAACTAGAAGACCAACAAATCAAGAAAACAACACCATTTACATTAGCATCAAAAAGTATTAAGTACCTATGAAAAAAGTGAACAAAGGAGGTGAAAGATCTATTCAATGAAAACTACAAGCCATTGCTAAAAGAAATAGAAGACACGATGAAATGGAAAGAAAGTCCATGCTCGTGGATGGGAAGAATTAACACAGTGAATACGTCCATCTTACCCAAAGAAATTTACAGGCTCAATGCAATCCCTATCAAAATTCTATCCGAATTCTTTAAAGAAATACATGAAATATTACTGAAATTTATATGGAACCATAAAAGACCCTGAATGGCTGAAGTAATTTTTACAAAAAGGAGAACAGAGGTGTCACACTTCCAGACTGCAAGTCCATAATAATCAAACAGACACAAAGACCAATGGAAGAGAATTGAGAGCCACAAAATAAACCCACACTGACATGGACTGTTGATCTACAATAAAGGAGCCAATTGTATGCAATGGAGAAAGGAAAGTCTCTTCAAAAAATGGTGCTGGGAAGACTGGACAGTCACATACGGAAAAATTAAACTAATCTCTCACACCATGCACAAAAACCAACTAAAGTTTGATTACAGACTTGGATATAAGACCAAAATCCACTAAATACATAAAAAGAAAACGTAGGCAAAACATTCCACAATAGCGGCTTCAGGGAAGTCTTTGGGGGATTCAACTCCAATTGCAAGGAAAATAAAAGCAAAAATAAACAGTTTTATTTTCACTGCATCAAACTAAAAGACTCTGTACAGCAAAAGGCACTATCAGTAAAGCAAAAATATACCACACTGAATGGGAGTAAATATTTGCACATCATATATCTGATGAGGGCTACATGCAGGATGTACAAAGAACTCACACAACACAAAATGAGAACAAAGAATCCAATCAAAAGATGGACAGTGGAGCTAAACAGATACTTCTCCACAGACAACACACAAACAGTCTACAAGCACGATTCAATATAATTTACTCTCAGGGAATTACAAATCAAAACTACTATGAGATACCTCCTAACTCACTGAAAATTGCCATATTAAAACATACACACAAACACAAACAGAAACAACAATTGCTGGTGAGGATGTACAGAAATCCTCACCACTGTTGACGGGAATGCAGACTGGTTCAGCCCCTATGGAAAATAGTGTAGAGGTTTCTCAAAATATCAAAATAGATATGTCATACGATCTAATGATTCCACTTCTTGGCATGTATCCAAATAATGCAAAAGCACTGATCTGAAGAAATATAGATGCTCTTCTGCTTATTGTAGCACTATTACAACAGCCAAGTTATGGAAACAACCTACATGCTCAAAAGCGGAAGAGTGGGTTAAGGAGGTGCCATCTACACAGTGGAATACTCCTCAGCTGTGCAGTAAGATGAGCACGGGCGCAGGCTCGCAAGGTGCCAGCAGCCAGAGCTGGGATCTGAGAGCGCAGCTTAGTCTGTTGCTCTGGAGTTGGCGCTGCCCAGGGAGCGCTGAGGCCCAGCGGGCTCCATCAGGGGCAGGTGGCTCCTCATTATGAAAATCCCGGACACGTGGGCTCCCCTGACGGGACACGCAGCTGCTGGAGGGGGACTGCGGGGCTCCAGCGCGCAGCGGGTGAAGAGGGGAAGCCGGGGGAGGCCAGGCTTAAAACACGTGGCCTTGGCTCCGAGCTGGCCGCCAGCCCGCCAGCCCCCGAGCGGGTGGAAGGCCATGGGGAGCCCCGGCCGCGAGGCAGGCGGGGACTCTGCCTTCCAGCGGGGACAGGCGCGCTCCGCCTGGCTCGGGAGGCCATCAAGGCCCGCGGGGGCCGCGCAGAAATAAGCCTGTGGCCGAGCCCCCGCCCCGCCCCGCCCCGCCCGCCCGCAGGAGCTCCGCGCGGCCCCGCGGCCGAGGAGGAAAGCCCCGCAGAGGACGCGCGCGCCGTGCCTGTGGGGGCGCCGGGCCGGGGCTACCCGCCAGGCCACGCCGCTGCGAACCCGCGGCTTCTTCTGGCCGTGCCCCGCCGCTGCCACAGGCTCCTTCCGACCGCGAGCGGGGGGAGCAGGCTGGGCCCGCGGGCTGATGGGCGCTCGCGGCTCAGTTCCCGGGCCGGGCCGTGACCACGCCCCCGGCGGCAGCAGCCCGCCCCCCCTCCACCGACCCGGCCGCACGGCGCGGGAAAGGCGCGCTCCAGACTCTGAGCAGGTGCCTCCCGAGGCCATGCGGGGCTCGAGCAGGCGGCTCTGGGACGCCATGGCGGACCCGGCGGACACGCGGCGCCACGGGCCTCAAGCCCCGCCAGGCGGCGGCGCCGGTGGGGGGTTGAGGGGGCGCCGCGGGGCCTGGCGAGGGCTGAGGGGGCAGCGACTGAGGGTGGCGGCGGGGCCCTGAGGGGCCTTAGGGGGCGGGCTGAGGGGGCGCGGCGTTGTCCGGAAGTGGCTGAGGGGGGCGGTGGGGCCGCGGCGGGGCCTGGCGAGGGCTGAGGGGGCGCGGCGCGGCCCAGCGGGGGGGGGGAGATTGGGTGCGGGGGGCCGGGCGCCCTCCAGGCGTCCCCGCGGCGGGAACAGGCCGCCCCAGGACCAGCACCACGAGGCTGCACAGGCCTCTCCGCGGTGACAGGCGCCCCCGCCCCCCGCCTCGACGGGCACCCACGTCGGTCGGCGGCCCCCGCGGCAGCGCTGCCCTCCCGCTCCCGACGGCGCCTCCTCCCGCCGGGCCTAGTCCTGACCGCGGACAGTCCCGCGCGCCCCGGACCGCGGCCTGAGGAGACGCTGAGGAGACGCCTCCGACCTGCAAGGCCCGGCCCGCGCAGCTCAGCCCCCGCCGCCCACCAGCACACACCTCCCAGACGAGCCCGCCCAGTGGAGGCCCCGGCTGCTGAGGTAACTGCAGCCCGGATTTCCGGTACAGACTGGGCGTGGGCGGGGCCGCACCTGCGCAGAAGGACGAGGCAGCCCCGGCCAGAGGGGAACTACATTACCCTGAAGCCCGTGCGCCAGTCAGGGCCATCAAGGCCCTCGGGACGCGCGTCAGCTCTGGGGTGATGAGGCGGTCCAGGGGCCGACAGGGCGCCCGGGAGGGACCGGGCATGGTGCCGGGGCGGCGCAGCAAGGGAGGCCCGCGCGCTGCCCCCTCCCGCAGCGCACGTGTTTGCGGCCCGAGGCCCGGTCGCCACCCCCTGGTCTGCCGCCTCCTCTCCCGGAGGGGGGCCTGGGGAGCCCCTCCCGCGAGTCCTGCGGGCTTGGGGGGACTGGGCGCTTGGGATCGCGTCCTTAGCGATGACCCGGCCCCGCGGGCCGCTTTCCCTGGACGGGGCGCGTGTGTCCTTCACGACGCGGGGCGCTGCGGGTGCCGAGGCCAAGTCCGCAGCGGCGCGGGCCTTGCGGCGACGGGCGCCCACGCGTTGTGGGGCTCCCGCGGGAAGCCCACAGTGATGTGGCCTGGAGAACACGCCGGGCACCGACCCTGTCCTGGGAAACGCTGTCAACATAGTCTGGCCACAGCAGGCCTGATCCTATTTCTTTGTCTAGATTTATCAGTTTGTCATGGTTTGTCTTTTTTTTTTAAGATGTATTTCTTTATGCATACAAGAGCTGGGGTGCAGGCCAGAGGTGGGGGTGGGGTGGGGTGAGTGGACTCCCCAGAGTGGGGAGCAGAACAGGCAGACTGACTGAAACACACTGCCGAGGGGAGCAGCGGGGACACAGGAGAGGTCTGCCTGCCATGTGGGACCCACCCTGGCCGGGGATGGAACTCGTGCTGCAGCTGCTTACAGCTTCACAGTTCTGAGACTCAACACTTTGCACCACCAGTTTTTGTCTTTAAATGGGATTTTACATGACTAATTTAAGCAGCTTAGTAATTACAGGAACACAGCTTATTTCCAGGTGTATCCAGTGTGTGACTTAATAGTCCCAATGCTATATACTGACAAAGCAATACTGTCTGGTAATTGATGGATTTGAATAGTCTGTCCTAGATTCTTCAGTTCAGAACCAATTTAACCATTTTCTATTTTGTATAATATTTTCTAATAATGGCCATGTGTCTGTAATAAGGCTCCACAAAAAAGCGGTTTCATTATTGGTTCAGTCTTTCCTGCCTTGAGTGGGGAGGGCAGGCAGGCCAGACTCTAGAAAGCAGAGTGCTTGGATTCTCTCTTACTTGTAAAATCTTCCTTACTTTCTGCTGTGAAAAACTTACAGGCTGCTTCATACTTTCACAGAAGTCTTTCACACGTTGATGTGAAATGTGACTTTTGAAAGCAGGTTCGCTGTCTTGATAGGAAGGACCCATGTACACTCCTGGGAGCATTCAAGTGTGACCCTGCAGACCAGCAGCAGCACCTGGGAACTGGTTAGAGAAGCAAAGTATGGGACCACATCCGGGAGCTATTCATTAGAAGTTTGCACTCACACACACGGTGGTTTGGATTCACATAAAAAATTCATCCCAAGAAAGAGATGTAGCTCCAGAAGTCTGCATGGTGAGGGTCCTGGCTTTACTCAAAGTATCCTAAATTCTTGCTTTTCAGACTGTATTTTGATTTTAGACTTCTTATCTTGTTCATCTCAAAAGAGGCTTTGGTGATGAATGTGGGTGTAGCTTAGAGGCTCCTTTCAAGTTAGACAAGAGCAGGACACTTGACGGCACTGGGGCAGCAGTTGCACATCCAGAGGTATGACCGGGACACCCAGCTGACTGTTGCGCCCCAGGGACTGGTCAGTGGATGCCTCGTTAATAAGACTGGAGCCTTGGGGACCACTTTGGAAAACAGGCAGTTTCTTATAAAACAAAACATACTTACTAGCCCCCAGGTTCTACTTCTAGCACTAACCGAAACACAAGCGCAATAAGTATGACACCTGTCTGATGGCAACAGCCTCGTGGAAACAGCCCAGGTGTGTGCCACGGGCGAGTGATGGGTCGGCCATGGTAGAATGTTGCATAGCTCTTATGGATAACTGCCATGCGCCGAGAGCACACACAGCAGCTCCGTGAAGAAGAGGGTGTTTTCTGTGCCGTTAGATGAAACATCGGTGGCTGCCAGGGCAGGGGGAAAGCGTCTCCACTTTGCCGCGGGGCTTGCGGCCACCTGCCCTCCAGACAGGGGAGCGGGTGTGAGGACGTGGGGCAGGCCAGCTCCCCGGCGGCAGGAGGGGCGGCGCAGCGGCCTTGCCACTTCTCTGCAAGTCCCTGGTTGTTCTAAAATGCATCGAAATGATTTGGCCAATGGGAGAAAAACGTGAGTTGCATCTGAAGTCCCTGCCGCTGTTGCTTTCAAAACAACAGTGGGACGAAGTGGCGCGTTCGGGGCCCACTCACCATTTCTGATGAGTGAGGCGATGGGGACAAGACTCCAGCGGGAGACCCCTGGGGACCACCACCAACTGCAACCGCACGTGCCGAACACTGCACCCTGAGGCTGCGGAAACCGAGGCTCTCCAGGGCAAAGCCTAAGCCCCACCCTGCGATGAGACACGGCTCCAATCCGGAGACATCGGGTCAGGCTGACCTTTCTGGGCAGGAGCCACACGTTCCTCCACAAACACCCTCTCCAGCAAGAGCGCCAACCTGAGACGCGACATGGCCCCAGGCCCGAGTCTGCCTCCTGAAGCCGCTGCGCCCCGACGGCGGGGGACCCCAACAGAACACAGCCTTCCGCCCCCCGACCCAGTCTCCTTGTCAGAAGCGGGAAAGAACAGCAGGTTCCAGGTTTTCCCTCGTCCTAGTAAATCAGTGACACTTTATTTAAGCATTCTGACAGTATGAGCTACCCAGTCAAAAAGAGTGAAAATTAAGCTATTTTGACATAATCTGAAAGTAGTATGATGATGCGTGAAGGTTTTATTTCACTTTTTCTTTTAAGATTCTATTTGCGTAGAACTGGGGTGTGGCCAGAGGTGGCGGGATGGTGAGAGGACCCCCCACAGCCAGAGTGGGGAGCAGAACAGGTGGATCCACTGAAATTCACTGCAGAGGGGAGCTGCAGGGAAACAGGAGACATTTGCTGCACCCTGTGGGGAGCTCCCTGGCTGGGGATCAAATTCAGGCCTTGGCAGTGACATCTGAGACTCCACCCCTTGGCCACTAAGAATCTTGTTTCACTTCAATGGAAATTAAATATGGCCTACTAAATTCCAAAATTAATAAAGACTGATACCATGTAATAAGAACATGCTCTTTAGAAGTCATTCCTGGACACCCCGCCTGCCCCAGGAGCTGACGGGCCTGTGGGATGGATCCGGGGGTGCAGGTGCGTGGGGGTGGGGGTGAGGGCTCGGACAGGAGGCCCGGGAGGCCCAGCGGGGGGCAGGGGGACAGGTCATGTGGAACCCCGAGACGCGGCTGGATGGGACGTGCCGCGAGGAGGCGCTGACCTGGCGCCCCCATCCCCAGGGCGTCGCGAGCGCCCTTCCGCCGGGCAGGGCGGGGAGTCCGGCCTCGGGGCCAGCGTCGGCGGGGTTTGGGGGCGCGTGGAAGACGCTCCAACCCCTCGATGGGCGAGGCCGTCCCCGGCGCGTTATTCAGTAACCAGCGGTGGGAACCGCCTCAGCAACCAGCCAGGAACGCCCCCCTCAGAGACACACCCCGGGACCGCGTTCAGGAGGACGGGGAGTGTGTGTGGGCCGCGGCCGCCTCTGCGCGCCTCCTGCGTCCTGTGTGCGTAAGTGTGTGCGCGCGCGCAAGGTGTGTGATGTAGTTGAAACACGAGGTCAGCACATGTTGGCCACCCCTGAGGCATGAAGTGCCGAGACAAGGACACACCCGGGCGGTGGCTGGAGACGGGACGGGTCAGAAAACCGGCCCCTGCGCAGATCAAGAACGTCTTTCCCGGGTCAGAGAAACGACGAGGCGGTCGCGGATGGCGGGTCTCTCCCATAAGCGATAACAAGGTGGCCTCTCCCATATTTCTTCCCATTCCGCCCTTGCTTGACAGGTTCGCTTCTTGCGTTCCAAGCAGCTGAGAAAAGCAAGCTGGTGCCCACCTGACTCGGAGTGGCCCTTCCTCCTCCCCTTTGCAGCCCCTCGCCGTCTTCCCCTCTGTCCCCTGGTAGACACACCCCTGCCCTCTGCCCAAGAGCAGGACCGTGTCTTTCAGTCATGAGCCTGCTGCCCTCCTCCTTTCCCAACAAATTCAACCACTTTCCTTGTGTTTGAGGCCGGCGTTCACTCACAATTGGGCAGGCCAGAGCCGGGAGCTGGATGCTACTTGGGCTTTGCCAGCCCCGCCTCTGACTCCCAGGGAGGGAGCAGTAGCCCAAGGCAGCGTGCCAGGCTTCCCCATCTGCATCAGAGTGGGGGCCTGGACATCCCGGTTGGCATCCTGACCCCTGTGTTCAGAGGGAATGCCCTCTCTCCAGGGGGAGGGAGAGTCCTAGCAGTTGTGGGTGTTTTCCTCCATGGAACCTCCCAAAGTCTCCCCAGGAGAGGCACATCATTCTCTGCCCCCTGGATTCACCATGGAGGAGATGGAACCTGGTGGAAGATGGTGGTCCCCAGGGGTGCACAACAATCCCCTGCCCTGCACACAGTTGGGAGGAATCAGAGTCCCACTCTGAGAGGGAGTCCAGTTCCCCTCAGTTTGGGAGGGAGTCTATGAGTCTCCCCCAGTTGGGGCACCTTTCCTGTGTCAAGCCCTATTGAGTGGGATCTGGGAAACATGCGGTATTTTTATTTGGTGTCTGGTATTTGGAGTTTCCTTTTTTTTTTTTTCTGGAAGCCAGGGATGTGGTTAAAATGGTGAGAGGTGCCATATTTGTTTCATCTGAAAGCCCCTTGGGGACAGTGTTAACTGAGTTGGGGACCTGTAGCTGCCAACCCATGTCTAAGAAGCAGCTCTTGTCACTGTTTCCCTGCAGAAGCC